CTTTTGTGCCCTTTTGGCATTTTAGCATCTTTAAGTATCATTTTTGTGTCATTTCAGCATCTTTTCTTATCATTTTTTAGTCTTTTTGTGTCATTTTAGCATGTTTGTCTGTCAGTTTTGATGTTTTTGTGTCATTTTACCGTCTTTTCTCATCATTTTGAGTCTTTTTGTTTAATTTTGGTCTTTGTGAGTCATTGTTGTGTCATTTGTGTTTCCTTTTGTGTCATTTTTGAGTGTTTTTGTTTAATTTTAGACTCTTTTTGAGTAATTTTTGGCACTTTTAGTTTCATTTTAGAAAAAATGTGGTCATTTTAGTTTCCTACATGTCATTTTTTGGTCTTTTTGTGTAGTTTTCATGTCATTTTAGCATTTCTCCTCCAAAGGATTGGGATGAAACTGTGTATTTTCCGGCGTACTGATGCACTCCCGTCTCCTGCAGGTGAAGTATAAAGAAGGCCTGAAGCAGAAGATCCAGAGCAGTTTGTACCATCAGCTCCCTGAAACCACAGAAACACAGCTGGCCAAACAGCTGACTGAGCTGCAGAGCGAGGTACGGCACATGACGCCACCGTTCTCTTTGTAAAACAGGCTGAACAACACGTTTAGAGGCAGAAACAGGATCAATAATGGCAGCAAAGTGAGCAACGAGAAAGTTTTCCTGTTTAAAAAAAAGCTTTTCTGACACAATCCTGGCTTCGTATTGAGTCCGACCGTTGAGTTTAGCTCCTATTTAGACAGTTGATGCCATCTGGGTGTCCTTTAAATAAAAACATCTGGATCTGGGTTTGTCTCGAGTGGCAGCACGTGCAAAAATGAGTTGAACTGAAGACACCAACAAGAAAACAGGAATGTTCCCACACAGACTGAATAAAGGATTATGTCGCGGCTGAATGTTGAATGTTTATCCGTTGACAGCTGACTGAATGTCTGAATGCAGCGAGACGGGAGTGAAAAACGTTCGGTGCTTGTGAGAGAAACGTCACTTTCCCCCTCAGTTTCTCTGACAGTCGCGGTAACCGTGAAGCGCTGTGAATCTGCAAAGGCCGGCTGAGGTGAAGCTCTGAACACACTGCGGCTTTGTGAGAGTGAATGGAGCTGTAGAGCTGCTCTCAGGCCGCTTCAGCGCTCTGAAGCATCACTTGTCAGCCATTTAGAGCGTGCATGAAAGATCAGGCCCACTAAAACCAGAAATGATTTCTAAAAGCAGATTGTTGAGCGTGTGATAGCTGCAGCTTCCACTGCTGCTGCCGCGAGACTGAAAAACGCAGCACGGTGTCAGTTTGAACACGTGTGTTTGTTGGAGTGTTTTTATTGGGCTAAGTTGATGATTTAAACTCTGTGAACCCCCAAAACCCACCAGCAAGTTTGATAAATAAAAAGTGACACCGTTTAGCATCGCGAGAGCCTGACTTTTTTTTTTGTCATGATGTTTATTCAAAGTCGCTTTTTTCCCGTCTAAAAATTTGCCAAAAAATGAACCGTTTTCTGGGACCACGTTCTGTAAGAAACACAAAATTCTGCGGTTCTTGGCTCAAATGTTAAATCTTCACTGACTCATCTGTGAACTATTGTCAAGTGTCAAAAATTTGTGGACTTTTCGGTTGAACTGCAGGCAGCGTAAGAACAGAAGCAAATTCAAAATGTAAATATGTACATGTTTTTTATAGTGTTGGTGAAACCTGTAGAAACTGTAAAAAAAACAAAACAAAACATTGGACAAGTTGATTACAGTTTTTTTTGTGAAATAAATAATCAAAGAAATTCAAGTAACATCTTCCTTTTTTAACAGTTTATGGCATTATAACTTTTAAACGCGTTCTCTTCAGATATTTGCGTTTTTCCAGTTTAAACATTTTTAATTTTAACGTGTAAAACTTAAAAAAAAAAAAGAAGATATTAATCAAACCTTAATTTTCTAGGTTTTTTATTACAAGACATCTTTACAAATGCACTCCACAGTTTTCAGCAAGAAAGCTGCGGAAAAGTTCAAAAGCGTGTTTTTGAAAGTTTTTGCAAATTTCGTTAATTTTGTTGTTTTTTTAAAAATAAGAACAGTTTACAGTAATGGCTGTTAATATAAAAATAAACTACAACGTGCATTCATGTGTTGTCAGACAGGCAGCAAAATATTTTGTGCAAACATCAAAAAATTAAAACTGCAAGTCAGTTAGTTTAGCAGAAGAAGCTGCAAGGTGTCTCGGTGGTTAGCACCATCGCCTCGCAGCTAGAAGGTCGCATCCCAGTGAGGACACCTGGGATCTTTCTGCATGTTCTCCCCGTGCAGCGTGGGTTCTCTCCGGGTTCTCCGGCTTCCTCCCACAGTCCAGAAACATGCTGAGGTTAATTGGTGATTGTAAATTGTCCGTAGGTGTGAATGTGAGTGTGCTTGGTTGTCTGTCTCTAAGTGTAGCCCTGTGATAGACTGGTTACCTGTCCAGGTGAACCTGCCTTCACCCTGAGTCAGCTGGGATAGACTCCAGCCCCCCATGACCCTGGTGAGGATGAAGGTGGAGAGATGATGGATGGATGGATAATAAAACTGAAGAAAATAATACAACAGGCAAAAAGTGATCACGTGTTTGTACGAGCAGATTCTAAAATTAAGACAAATGTGAAATATTAAGACCATTAAGAGCAGCCCAATGGTATAAAAAACACTTAAAAATATCAACAGAGGAGGAATTTTTGGCTGAACTGTTCTGCACCGTATTTCACAAACGCTAAAAGGTTCTGAGCTTTAATTTTGATAGGACTTGGTGACTTCCTGTAACTACCAAAAGTCTTTTCCTCTGAACGTCTGTCCCCTAAAGTCAAAGCCAGTGTGCTACGAGACGGCAGATAAAATGAGATTAAATGTGAGATGTTAGGAATTAAAACATTAAAACGTGCATCTCTGAGTTTTTCTAGAGAATATTAGCGAAGAAGGAACATTTGATGAATAAAGAACCGTGAAAGCCTTAAAGAGAACAAACATGCTGCTGCAATCGGCTGAGAGGTTTTCTTTAATAAGAAAACGTTTGTGTCGTCTGCAGACAAAGTACAAAGAAGCTGGAAAGAAGGAGGTGAACAGCTGCCTCTACTCTCTGCTGCCGGAAACTCTGGAGACACAACACGCCAAAGAAACCTCAGAGCTGCTCAGCGAGGTGAGAGCAGTTCAGTTTACTGCATCGGATTCTGCAGAAATGTGAGGATTAAATGTAAACGTTTCACCAGATCAAGTACAAGGAGAGCGGGAAGAAGGAGATGTCCAGCTCGCTGTACTCCACGCTGCCCAACACCTCAGAAACCAGCTTCGCCAGGGAGATGAGCGACATGCTGAGTGAGGTAACAGCACCGACAGCAGACAGTGTCCAGAATGCGGTCATAATGTGGTCATTTTGTCCGTCCAAACAATAATTAGAAGTGTGTTTGCAGCATGTTTATCCACAAGAATGAAGAAAAAATAAGCTTTGAGAACAAAAAATGACTAAATGCTGCGTAATAATAAATAATATAAAACACAGACAAACTGATTAATGGAATTATTGCACTTTTAGCCGCCTGAAATGAAAAAAAAAAACAAAGAGGCAGAAACTGTTAAAGAGCAAGAAACTTCGTATTTTCAACTTTCCAACAGTCCTTGAACTGCTCGGAAATGAACCAAATCTAAGCTTCAAATGGAGGTACGTCGTCAAAGTCACTTTATGTTAAAAATAAGATTAAAAAACATTCACCGCTTTCTACAGATTCTGTATAAAACCCTAAACTACTCTGTGATCCACCTCCGACCCAGAATCATGTGTTGTAGGTTGAACTGCAGGCAGGTGGAAGACGTAAACGGACTCATCGTGTAAACAGGAAAACAGCTTTTGTATAGATTCAACCCTAAAAGTCGTGAAGCTCTTGATCTTCCCTTGTTTTAAAGGTGACTTAGAAATAACGGTGCAGCCGCATGTACAAGTTGAGTAAATGAGCTTCAGTTTATCTGTTTCTCTCTACAAAGATCGAAGCCATGTGTTAAAATGTGGAAGGTTTTATGTTAGAACGAGATAAATCGTGTATTTTTAACGACAGCGATGTGAAAAACATCTTGTCAAGACGGTGAAGTTGCAACAAACAAGCAGGAAAAACCAAACAATCTGCCGACGTTCACGGTAAAGACACAAAACAGGACGTTCCACAGATTAAAACGGGTCAGAACGTCTGTTTCTGAGCGTTAGAACCAACAATCGAAATGCACCAAAAGTAGCACTGTTTGGATCAGCGAAGGAGATGAAACGAGGTTGATTTCATTCATTAAAAACTCTCTCGTTTGAATCGTAAAAACTCACATCCTCTCTGATGTTTCGGTCCTGAATTGGTCTCCACACATGTGATTATCTCCACAAACCGGATCAAAGAGGTCGTAGGCAGTCTTTCATTAGCATTTTAATGCCGCTGATGAGGCTCGCTGTCGTTATTTTGTATCTGTACGTGTACATCCAACGCAAACGATGAAAAGAAGAAAAGACAAAGCAGAGAAATAGACGTTGAGCTTCACCATCAACAGAAAGGAAAGCTTCTGGGTGATATGTGAAGCACAGAAACGACGTTGTCTCTGTGTCATGAGTGTAAAGTGACAGTGTGTGTTTTCAACAGAGCAAATACAAAGAAGACGGGATGAAGAGTCGCTCTCAGAGTATCTACAGTCAGATGCCGGAAACCGCTGAGATGCAGTTTGCTAAAAACGTCGCCGAGCTGCAGAGCGAGGTGAGGATGAGGAGCGGCTGGCATTTGACTGGAACCATCCAGAACCTGTGGACTGATGAAGGAACAAGTCTGAGTCAGAAAGACGACGAGTTTAGTTGAACTCCAGCGGTTCTGTCCAGAGGAGTCAGAGATGGACCAGAAGCTGGTGGACGGAACCAGAAGTTTAACCAGATATTATCATTTCTGTTTGTATGTTTATGATCCAATAGATCTAGTGTAGACCTTCACTGAATCTCTGGAAAAAAAAAAAGAATAAACACAAATAATTAGAATATGAGCCCTTAAATAAAGAAGTCCGTCAGTGATCATGAAAGGGTTTGGTCATATCTCTGAGGAGTTCAGCTTGAATCCATATTTACAGCAGACAAAACAACATTTAGTCGGCAGGCAGCAGCAATACTAGTGCAGCATAACTCAGTGGATTTACTCGAGTATTTCTGTTTTATACAACTTCCTGCTTCCGCTCCACACTTCAGACGGAGATATTGTACTTTTTACTCTGGGACTTTTCCTGCAATACTTTATCACTGAAGGAGGATTTTTCATGCACAACGTTTGCTTGTATTTACTTGTTCCATCTTTTCCTGATATTTATTAGATGACAGTTTGGATACAGCGACGAATTATCTTCATGATGTTAATATTAGAAGTTTGGACTTTTTATAAAACGCTTTTTTGACTCGAAACTTGACTCACCGCTGCAGACAAATATACCACAGATTACTGTTGTTCTGCTGCAGATTTGGAAAAGCCGCTGCTTTCCTTGTTCTCCGGTGAAAACCAGACGTAACATTTCACTGCATTAATTTTAGATGAAGTACAAAAAGGGGAAGAAAGACGTGTCCAGCTCTCTGTACTCCACTCTGCCTGAAACTCTGGAGACGCTGCACGCGAAGGAGGCTTCGGAGCTGCAGAGCGAGGTAAAAACCGCTGCTACCGCCTGTGCACGTAATAAAATCACCAACAATATTAAGCTTCCTGTCTGTAGCACCTGTTGTATGTAAGTGCTTCACATCGTTGTGTTTACAGCACGAATATAACCAGAAACACAATCAGCTTTATTGGCCAAGTCTGTGAAAAACACACGAGGAATTTCACTCAAAAATTAAACTGAAGATTAACCTGAACCAGAGTTTTAGTGCAAAAATTACACTCATTCAAATACAATGAAATGAAGTGAAATTATTTGAAGAATTTGACGAAAAACAATCATAAACTTGCAGCAAAAAGACCAGAATAAAACTTTAAAACAGAAACAAAAAGGTAAGTTTTAATCTAACAAAATACTTTTCACAGTCTAACAAGATGTTTTTGTCTTTTTACGGCATACAAACTTTAAAACAATATACTTTTATGTTGTTATGACGCAATGTGGTTCACAATAACATAATTTATACTATAATAAGGCCAAGAACAGATAAATTGAGGAAGCATTGACTGAGATTCTGCTGTTATTGATCATGACTGATGGTATTTTGATAAGTTACGTATCAGTGAAGCCTTCAGTGCTTCTCCATGTTATCAGAGACATGACTTGTGCGCAGCCCCATGCATCATAAAATCCCTTCATATGCTTATTAAATTTGATCCGTCGTGCTAAATAACAGCAAAATCTCACCACGTGTCAACTTAAGTGAGAAGTAAAACTTAACTAACTGGGTCAATTTATCTGTTCTCCACACATTAAAAACATTAAAACATACAGCTTTTCATGATTTTCGTTATAAGTTTATGTGTTGTAGTTACATGAATAACAATAAAATGTTCGTGTTATTGCGTCAAAATGATCTGTTTGTTTTTTTCTCATGTAGCAGCAACAAAGTTTTGGTCCATAATTCAAGCTTTTGAGTCTCCAGCTGATTTAAACTGTTTACATCATAGTACACCAGAAATACGTAAAGTTGTGCATCATATATGTGGCTTTAAAAGCATGTTGTTGGATGATTTAATGAAAAAACAAGGGGACCAAGTATTGAACCCTGTGGAACACCATATGGAATAAAATGGTTATTTGAAATAGCGTCCATCCCTGAGTGTTTTATTGCCATTTAACTATCCGTGCTGCTGTTTGTGTTCAGTTGAAGTACAAGTCAGCCCTGAAGAAAGGACTTTCCTCCAGTTTGTTCCACCAGCTGCCCGAGACCATAGAGACCGCCCACGCTAAGGAAGTCTCCGAGCTGCTCAGCGAGGTAAGAAGAAGAAAAATTACTGTTTGCAGAATTCAGTTGTAAGTTTCTCTAGTGGTTGGTGGATGCAGCTGTCAGTGAAACTCAATTTGTTTTCCAGGTGAAGTATAAAGAGGACGGTAAGAAGGAGCTGAACATCAACTTGTACTCTCTGCTGCCGGAAACTATCGACACTCGACATGCGAAAGAGGTGTCGAACCTGCAGAGTGAGGTGAACAGTCACGTTACTCCACCGCTTCATCAGTTTGTTCTGCTTTACATTCATCGGATCTGCAGGAAGAAAAACGCGAGCAGGATTCACAGAAGGACAATTACAATCCCACGGATCGCTAAAGTCAGTTTAAACATTGTAGTGGGATCTCGTATAGTTTGCTTCAGTAAACATACAAAAATACAAACATGAAGTAGACCTGAGTTTTAGAGCAAAAGTTAAGTGAAGCAGAGTTTTAGTGCAAAATCGCAAATTTAAAGTGAACAAAACAAAAAATGACAACAATAGAAATGAGACAAAACTGAACCAAAGAACCACAAAATAACACAATTTTGACAGAAAGCAGCAAAAACAAGACACGAAATTACAAAAACAAGATGCAAAATTACAGAAACTTGACAGAAAACAAGAAAAATATTTTAGTGCAACATTAGAACGTTTAAGTGAACCAGAGTCTATACATCACACAAACAACTGCAAACACGTAAGACCCACCACTAAATCTGTATGTTGTGTTAAAATAATTTGGCTGGGTGTGATCTAGACGCCTTCTAAACTTTCAAACCAAACTTAAGCCACTTTTAGCCGAGAAAACTACACGAAATGTGGACATTTTTTTAGACCTTTGTTTGGTAGAAGGACTCAAAGACTTGCGTCGTATTTTAGAATTTAGAATTTTCACGGCATATCTGAGCTGAGGCACCAATCACAGAGAATTATGAGAAAAACATCCTCCTCTGTCTCCTGCAGGTGAAGTATAAGGAAGGTCTGAAGCAGAAGATTCACAGCAGTTTGTACCATCAGCTGGCAGAAACCACAGAGACACAGCTGGCCAAACAGCTGTCGGAGCTGCAGAGCGAGGTACGGGACGTCCACGCTAAAAGTTCATAGAAGTTTTCCTGTTGTTCAGAATAAGTTCCTCCAACAACTTCAGCTCGTCCTTATGCTGTCAACTCTTTGTCTTTGTCTTCATCAGAGGGTGAAAACAAAAATAAAACAAAACAAAATGAGCAGACAGCTGATGTCCATGTCCTTTAACGTAGCAGCTCGCGGTTTCATTCGTATCATGACGTTTAGATCATCGGACGGTCAGGTAGAAACACCACCGTATTCCTGACATGCAGTTTAATTAATCTAAGAGAAACTTGTGCCGGATTGAACCAGGGTCCTTCAGATCTATAGTCTAATGCTCTTCTACCTGAGCTATTTCAGCCTCTAAGTCTGCAAAATGACTCACAATTTGTCTAAAATGGCTAAAATCTGACCAAAATGACTCAATTTGCCCCAAAAATGACTCAACGTTTGTCCAGAAAACTTCAAAACTTCTAAAATGATTAAAACCTGACCAATATGACTCAAATTTTGTCTGAAATGACTCAAACCTGACCAATATACGTCTCAAAATTTGACTCAAAGTAACTCAAAACTTGTATAAAATGATTAAAACCTGACCAAAGTGACTCAAAACCTGTCTAAAATGACTCAAACCTGACCACAACGACTCAAAAGTTGCCTCAAAATGACTCAAAACTTGTCTAAAATTATTAAACCTGACCAATATAACTCAAAATTAGTCTAAAATGAATCAAAACTTGTCTGAAATGACTCAAACCTGACCAATATGACCCAAAATTTGCCTCAAAATAACTCAAAACTTGTATAAAATGATTAAAACCTGACCAATATGACTTAAAAGTTGTTGACTTTACATGTATGATAATTGACGAGCTGAACTAAATGGAAGACGAGACTTGGAGGATGGAGGCAGAAAGACTTCACAACGTCCTGAAACAGAATCTTATTATAACTTCCCAGGTTCCTGTAGATCTCCAGACTCACAATTTGTCCAAAATGATTCAGAAATCTGTTGAAATTGGCCAAAAAAACCCCAAAAACTGCTGATCATTGGTCCAAAAACACCAGAGTTTTCCTTTGGGTCCTTGTAGGCAGGAGGTCGAGGCCGAAACAAGACGACTGATTTCTTTTTTAAATTGCAGACCAAGTACAAGGAGGCGGGTAAGAAAGACGCGAGCAGCAGCCTGTACTCCGTCCTGCCTCACACCATGGACACGCAGCACGCTAAGGAGGCTGCAGAGCTGCTCAGTCAGGTGAGCTGTGGACAGAAATAGGACAAGATGAATGTCAGACTTCTCTTGTCTGCATCGGGCAGAATAGTTCTTCACTGCTGGTTGAATATTTCATAACTAATCTCCACAGATCAAGTACAAGGAAAGCGGTAAGAAGGAGATGTCCAGCTCCCTGTACGCCGCTCTGCCCGACACCACGGAGATCAGCTTCGCCAGAGAGATGACCGACATGCAGAGTGAGGTGCATAAAACAGCACAGTGTCCCTGACGCAGAGTTTTATCACTCTGGAGAGAAAGTTTGAACAAAACACGGCATTGAACCAGTCTAACGCTCTCACAACTGACCTCTTTCAGCTGGAAAATCTGCTGGAGATGACTCAAAATGTGTCCAAAATGATCAAAAAACAGCCCAAAATGACTTAAGAATGGCCCAAAATGATTTAGACGTCCCCTGATTGCTTCACAGTCTACCCAGAATGACTAAATGTGTCCAGAAAGCTTCAAAAACCATCCAACATGTGGAATAAATGAGTCAGAAACTGTCCAAAATGACTGAAATCAATCCATGGATGAAATCAATCCATGAATTGTCTAAAAATGGTTCAAAATCACTCCAAAACATGTCCAAAGTGACTAAAGTCTGACCAAAAATGACTCCCAGTTTGTCCAAAGTTATTTAAAAACTGCCCAAATTGACACTAAATTTGTCTACAAGACTTAAAAGTTGACCACTCAAAAAGGGTCCAAAATGATTTATTTTTTTGTCCTAAAAGCTTCAAAAACTGTCCTAGATGTCCATGATGTCTCATAAAGTATTCATAATTTGTCCATAATAGCTCAAAATTTGTTCAGAATCACTCACAATCTGTTCAAAATTGCTCTAAACATCTCCAAAGTGAAAAGAATTTTCCAAAAATTGTTGAAAATGACTCACAATGTGCCCGAAATGAATCCAAATTTGTCTAAAAAGCTTCAAAAACCATCCGACATGTGGAACAACTGGCTCAAAAACTGTCTGAAATGACTCAAAAAGTGTCCAAAAATGATTTAATATTTGTCCAAAAAGCTTCAACAATGGTCCAAAATGATTCATTTTCATAACTGACTCATGATTTTTCTCATCATAACCCAAAATTTGTCAAAACCAGTTCAAAATTTGTTCAGAATCACTCGTGATCTGTTTAAAATTACTAAAAACATCTCCGAAGTTAAAAGAATTTTCCAAAAATTGTTGAAAATGACTCACAATTTGTCCAAAGTTATTAAAAAACAACCCACCATGACTTAAAAATGGTCCAAAAGTATTATAAACAACCATAAATGCTTCACAATGTGCCCAGAATGAATCCAAATTTGTCCAAAAAGCTTCAGAAACCATCCAACATGTTTCATAAGTGACTCAAAAAGTGTCCAAAAATGATTCAAAAATGGTCCAAAATGATCCATTTGTCAAAACCAACTCAAAATTTGTTCAGAATCGCTCACAATCTGTTCACAATCACTCACAACATCTCCGAAATGAAAAGAATTTTCCAAGAATTGTTGTAAACGACTCACAGTGTGTCCAAAATGACTCGTGTTCGTCCAGAGTTATTCCCACCTGTCCGGACGGCGCTGACCACACCTGCACTCGAGGGCTCCACGTATACGTAGCGCAGCTCTGGAGATCTGCCAGAATGAATCCGTTTTACACTAAAACTGTGAGATTCCGTCAAGAACACCGAATCATCAACATGCTGGAGGGAGATGAAGCAGACACGAGAGCTCCTCGTGCAGACGAATCCGTCTCCAGCTGGGAGCCGCAGTACGAATGCTGTTTGATTAGTTATAAATAATCAGCAGCCGATTATCTGATGCTCTCTGATGTCTGTACCTCCGACTGCCATCAGAGGCGTCAGAACCAGGATCAAAGCGGGCCGCTGGTCTGAAGACACGTTTGTGTTCTGGTTCTTTTTTTAGGAGACAGAGAAGCCTCTCGATTCTCACGTTTTCTGTTCTCATCTGCTCAGAACTGTGACACGAATCCGTTTATGAATCGAACTTAATCCTCAACACGCGAACGATAGAACGATAGA